GAACTTCTGAAAGCCTAATGAGGCAGCTTTTCTGTCCTGCCCGCCACACTGGGGAGGGTGTCCTTGGCCACTCACTTCTCTGGGCCCTACATCATGCATTCTGGGCTAACAAACAGAGGTCTTAGATAAGATAGACCAAGATTTAGGATTAGGCTATTTGAAGTTGCCAGTATTACATAGAAAATATTTTTTTTTTCCTGTCGATGTTTCATTCTGAGGCTGGTCTAGAAGGAAGAATTTCCCATTATCCAGCAAGATCTGAAACACCAAAACCTCCATAACGGCCTTAAGAGAAAGCCAGGTGAAAACTGTTATCTGGGATAACAAGTCAGGGGCTAAGAGGAAAAAGAGGGGCAATGGGAGTGAGGAAAGGGAGGGCAAATGCCTAAGAGACCATTTAGAGAGGAGAAGGAGAGGGAGGGAGATCAGAGAGGAGTGACTCCTTAATATACAACCTGACTCAAGGGAGAAAGTAGCAAACATTTTTGCATCAGCCCTGACCTCTGTGTGCAGGCCTTGAGAGGCTGTTGGTGAGATTTTATTTCTGGTGGTGAATAGTTTCTTCCTGCCCTTCCAAGTTTTAGTGGCATAGCTAACAGGTTGCATCTACAGTGTGCATGGCACGATTCTACGATAACGTGCTCTTCTTTGCACAAGAAGATAGTGCTACTTATTCATCCCCATGGTACATGCTGTTTTTCTATTCACAGGGATAGTTTTATATTAATCCTGCCACTCCGTTTCCTTGGGCTCCATGGTAACCAACTGTTCCCTTGTGCAGGCAGCTGGTTGAGGCTGTGAAACAGCTAACTGGCCAGCAGTGGGCATGACCCTGTGACCTCCACCAAATAGACTGAATGCTCAATCAACTTAGCATGAGCCAGTCACTCAGAGCTGTGTTTTAATCAAGGCTCTAGCACTTACCCATTATGAAAATTCATTCAGAGCACATGTTTCACTCAGCTTCCAATTCTTATCTATAAATTGGGAATGATAGTTGAATTTTTTATGGTATGATTGACGGGACAAATGAGCAAAAATATATACAGCATTTACCCTGAGAGCCAAATAATGAACACTCTTTGTCACCCTCAGGTAAAAAGGTCATACAGGGCCTGTCCCCTAGATGTAATTCTTGTGAGTGCCTACCAGGGTCAGGAGGAGACAAAACTGGTCACCCTCTGAGTAGTAAGCTGTGTCCAATGGAAAAGACTCCTTCACATCAGTGTATGAATAGCTGTGCAAGTGTCTATGGAAAGCCTTACACAAAATTTAAGGTATTCAGAGAATACATTTCACCCGTCGCCCCCCAGAAAATCCTGAGAATGTCTGTGCTTGGTAAGTCCTTTGTCTGAGTCCTCATTTGAGTCTCAGTTTGACTCTTCCTTTCTGGGCTAGTGGTCTACCTTTGATAAACTGTTTTTCCTTTTGAATGACATATTTATTTATCATATTATGCCACTGTCAGGAAACCCTAAATGTAGCCATGTCCTTTTACCAACTGGTGGATAGTCAGGCCTTCATTCCTTTACATACTATCATCTCCAACACTTTCAGGGAATGCTAAGAAACTTTCTCTGCAGAGATAAAAATAATGATACTGAGTCATTTCCTTTGTTACTCTTTGAATTCCCATATAAAGTTATCAGCTAAGTGTACCTAGCCTGGTCTTGCTAGTGTGCCTGCTTAATATGGTTTAATGCTGGTGACATTAGTCACTGTTAATTGCTCAAGAGTTGAGATGAGACAGGCAATCACTGAGTTCATCTGTAAAAAAAAAAAAATGACTGTAGTCATATTAAGAAATAAAAGGCTCTATGGCTACTTAATGACTACAAGTTATTTCAACAAAACTGACAGCATTCATTTTCATAGGAACATATACTGCACCAGGACTCTGAAAATGCCAGAGGGCAAGCAGTTTGGGGTTCTTAATTGCTTCATTTTAGCCTTCATTGTTTTTCTATTTATCAGTTGTTTTTTCTTTTAATAGAGTCTGTTCTATTCCAAATTTTCAGCTTGTTTGATTTCTAAAGAGAATTTGTGGTTTGAATTAAACCGGAATGGAAATTGACTTCATTTGAAAAGATTTCCCTTCAGATTTTTTCCTACACTGGCATTCATTTAGACAGAAAGCAGTAAAGGAGCCACACAGATACTGTGGAGGTAAGTACCACTGTCAGAACGATGCTCTCTCTTTGCCTCTTGGGGATTTTTAGCTAAGGCTGTGCTCTGTAGGAGAAGCAAGATGCTGGAGGTGGATTTTCAGAACTTTGGGTATTAAGCAATTATCTTTTAACCTACACTTAGGGCATATGACCTTCCAATTTTGTAGTGTGCCAACTGCAGAGAGAAACTCTGCTGAAATCTGTTGTCATGACAGACAGGGCCATATGAAAAGTGCTGGAAAAATTCCTCCTTAGACTATAATTGCCTTGATGGGCAGAAACTCTGCCTTCTCTTCTGCTATGGAGAATGTATGCTCCACAATGCTCACGGCTGTGTTCAGGGTTTACCGTCCAAGGCACGATCAGTCTCAAAGCAAAATTAAATTGGGACGTTGAAAATACTCAGTTTGCCTGAAGTAGCCAACTATATTTTATTTCATTTTATTTATAGATTTATGATCCTTAATACCTGGGTACATAATGTGTACACAATTTTGTTATATGAAAAACCAGAATAAACAAGCAAGTTATGTGGTATATTTGTGGTTATGCAGATGATATGAAATTGCCTAGTGGACAGATAAGTGGTTTCCTTCTAACTGTGAATCTGGGTGCCCTGTAGAGTTTGAGCATGGAAGTCAGCAACACTGTGTAGCATAATGGTGAAGGTCCAAGCTCTGAAGCCAGACTGCTTGGGTTTGAAGTCTGCCACATAATTTCTTAACATCATTCTGCCTCAGCTTTTCCATCTATAAAATTAGAACAATGATTACACCTAACTCATCAAGTTGTTATGAGGATCGAATAAATTAATACACACACATTAAAAATGTTTCAGTAGTTCTTGGCACATAGTAAATGCTATGTAAGTCTTAGCTGTGAATATTGTAATTACTATCATTAAGAATCTAAGGGCTGGGCACCGTGGCTCACGCCTGTAATCCCAGCACTTTGGGAAGTTGAGGCTGGTCGAAGTTGAGGTCAGGAGTTTGAAATCAGCCTGGCCAACATGGTGAACCGCCATCTTTACTAAAAATACAAAAATTAGCCAGGCATAGTCCCAGCTACTCAGGAAGCTGAGGCACGAGAATCGCTTGAACCCAGGAGGTGGAAGTTGCAGTGAGCCGAGATCGTGCCACGGCTCTCCAGTCTGAGAGGCAGAGTGAGGCTTCATCTCAAAAAAATAAAAAATAAAAAAATGCTAAGATTTTGTGATGCGCAACATGATTCTCTATAATCAAAAAGTTGATTGCACATTTAGCAAGTTTTTTCTCTCTTCGTTCTTTCGTTCTCTTCCTTTCTTTCTTTCCTTTTCCTTTCCTCTTTTACTCTCCTCACCTACAGCTCTGGCTTTCTGTCTACATTGTGATTCTTGGAATTTTGAGTCTTGCCTGAAGTCGTCCTTTTAATGGCAGTGGTGTGGGCAGAAGGGAGTTGTGGGGAGAATGGTCGACCTGTGCTGTCTGCAGCCCAAGTATGGGAAGGTAGATGCTTGAGTTGTTAGGGACTCCCACTCCGTACCTACCCACATGCCTATTCAGAGGAAAGAACATTTTTCTGTGTGGAGGTGGCATTCATGTTGGAAGGGAATGGTAGATGATGTTATTTTTGTTCCCGCAAATGTGGATGTTTAAAATAGTGCTTTATTCAATCGGCATAAGTGACACATAAACTATGTATAGTGGTGAAATTGGGCCTAGCAGGTGACAAGGGTCAGATCTCACCAAAATCAAGCATCATGGTTCTCCACTGATAGTACCCAAGGAATCAGCTTTGGGGATGGCCAGCACAGACCCCCATCTCAAGTTGACTGGCAAATTTGCTTGCACAACTACCTAATTGTCTGAAATGGAGGTACTTCAGAGCCAGTGAACTGGGATTTTGGCTTCGTTTCCATGGGTCATGCCAGTGGGTCACATTTCCTCTCTGAACCTCCCTCCAAGCCACACTGTATTCTTGAAGGGTAAGTGTATTCGTTATTCTTTTGCTTTTTGACACAGAGCCCTACAGGCCTGGAATTCAGCCAGTGTAACCTAATCATGAGGCTGCAGCTTGGGCTATATTTAATTGGAGGTTTATTGTCTTGCCATGGTTCTACAAGTTTAGGGAACTTTTTTGAGATTGATTAAGGTACTGTAGGGATTTGAAGTAGTGTCAATTTTGGCTCCACATGCCTTTCTACTGATTATAATTAAAAATGTATTTAAAGTGTTAAGTTTAGGTCTTTAAAAATTGCTCTTTATGCTTTGAGTCACCAGAGTAAGAATTCTAGGAGAGGTTCTTCTATTTTGAAACAAACAGGTCATGTTTCATAGTGTGTACCTTTGGGGAAAGAGGGATGGAGTATTCTATTCCTATGAAAAGTTTTACTACCAAAACTCATCTGATTTGGCTGTCCAAAGAAAAAGAAATGCATAGATTTTGAGGCAAATATAAAGCTACCATATGTACCAGGGAGACTTTTGAAATATTTCCAGAGTGTCCTTAATTCATTTGAAATGCGTGAAAATTTTGAATTTTATTTAAGAACAAGTTGGGGGAGCCATCTCATCAAAAACTTGAGAGTGAAAGATGGCTGTGAGGAAAGAATAATTTCATACTTGCTAGACATCGCTATAATAGATTACATAGAACATTTGGCTGATTTGAATTAGAACCCACATGCCTCCTCCACCCCCAACCTTCTCTTTTCATCTCGTTAGAGCCTCTTCTTTCTACCCTCAACTGTGGTTTCGATATGACTAGGGAATGGACACTAAAAATATTTCTGGAATGACGTGACCCTCTCTCACACCATCCAGGAAAGGGACAAGGCTTCACAAGAAACAGCACATGCTTTCCTTTCATTTCTGGGAGTCCCGGGGTCAACCTACAGATGCTGCTTCTTCCGTGGCCGATGGCATTCAGACTCCTCGCTGTGGCCGACGGTGCCAGGCAAGCAACTGGACAGGACAGCTCAGCTACAGAACACTGGCCACGGTCTCGGCCAGAGCAGCAGCCCCCCAGCCACGGACCACCTCCACCACCCCATCCAGGAGCCTTCCCGCCTCCTTCAGCCTTGCTGCGGCCCCGTCACAGGGGCTGAAGAACTGGGAGGTGGTGGCAGCAGTGGCAGCAGTGCCTACAGCCTTGGGGCCAGTCCAGACACGTGGGACCCTGCTTCGGGCAACTCTGCAGCCCCTCCGGAGCCAGAGAGGAACCCAAGACTTCCCCAGCGCTCACCATTGTCTCTTCCTGTGGCTGAATCGTGGGCAAGGGCTCATAATGGAAACTGCCCCTCCTGAGCCGAATTCCAAAGCAAGACAGGCAGAGGTGGGGGTCGGGGTGAGCAGTGCTCAAGACAGCCAGGAGCTCAAGCAGCAGCTGTGGCCACTTCCCAAGCCTTCAGCGTCCTCCCAGCGAGAAGCGAAATATGTGGAGATGTGCGCTTCAGCTGAAGTCCAGAGGGAGAGTCCCCGGACTATGAAACTTACCCTGGGGCACTGCCCTGGGGGTCAGAGGGCCTCTAGGATCCCAAAGGAGAAAGCCCAAGATGAACCCAGCAGTCAAAAGTGCAAGGCTCCAAGCCCCCAGAAAAATCCTGCCTTCTCTGAACTCTCCAGATCCCAGCATTCTGCCTCTGAAGAGGGTGGCAACTTCTCATCTTCCTCATCTTCCTCTCCGGTGAACAAAGCAAAAGAGGATGGCCTTTCCAAAATGGAGGACTCCACCACATCCGCGGGGGCTCTGGCCACCTCCTCTTCATCCTTAGGCTTTGAGAGTGAGAGTGGTGAGAGCAAAGTTTGCCAGCCCTTGGGAGGAGAAGGAGGGAAAAAATCAGGAGGAGGGGAAGGAGGAGGAAAAGGAGAAGGAAGAGGAGGGGGAGGAGGGGCAGGAGATGGAACAGAGTGCAGGGACATTATTGCCAAGTCTCAGGGCAGCAGGGACCCCCCTAAAGTCGAAGACGCTCACTACATCACCACCCATGAGATCCAGCTGAGTGAGGTGGAACAGGACATGGATTTCGACGTGGGGCTGGCCTCCCGCTGGGATTTCGAGGACAACAACGTGATCTACTCGTTTGTGGACTATGCTTCCTTTGGTGGCAGCGACGAGACCCCGGGGGACATCACCAGTCCGACCGAAGAGGACGACGACAACAGCTGCTACCTCAGCACCACTCCCAGCACCAACACCACGCGGACGCCCAGCCCCACCAGCAGCGACCTGGCCCGCCCCGACGCAGGCCGCAGTGGTCGCAACACCAGCAGCACGGAAGTGGGCAGCGGCCCCTCGGACAGTGGCCCCACTCCCCCACCCACTGGGCCTGGCACTGCCACCCAGAGTGAGTCTGTGCCCGAGACCCCGGAGGTAGCTTCAGGGGCAGCAGCCGCCGCCGCCAGCAGCTGTGGGAGTGCAGCAAGCCAGATCCTCCTATCAATCAAACCGGCTTCCCGGGCTATAAATGAGCCTAGCAACGTGCATGCAAAGCAAAACATTATTTATGCTGCCAAGCATGAAGGCGACATGAGCCTCCGCGTCTCCACAGCTGCTGAACACAATTCAAGTTTGCTGAAGCAAAACTCGGCTGCAGCCGTGGCTCAGGACCATGCAAAGAAATTCATTGCTGTCCCTGCTCGCCTGCAAACCAGGTGCGGGGCCATCCGGGCAAAGGAGCTGGTGGACTACTCCAGCGGAGCCTCCAGTGCCGTGAGCGAACTGGACGATGCGGACAAAGAGGTGCGTAACCTGACCTCCCGGGCCTTCCGGAGCCTGGCTTACCCCTACTTTGAGGCTCTGAACATCAGTTCGCGGGAGTCCTCCACCACGCTCTCCGAGGTGGGCTTTGGGCGCTGGTCGACCTTCCTGGACTTAAAATGTGGGGGTGTTGGGGCCAGGGTGGAGCAGAGCCTCCTCAGGAGCAGCGCGGCCTCTGTGGCTGCAGGGCTGAGGAAGGGCAGTGGGGCCCGGGCCACTGCCGACCAGCTCTACATCCAGTCCAAGAAGTCTCAGACCAAGGCCTTGGAGTTCGTGGTCAGCAAAGTCGAGGGGGAAATCAAACACGTGGAGACGCCCCTGTGTTTCCAGAAGCAGGTCCAGACGGGCTCCCGCGTCGTCACCCTTTTGGAGCCCCTGAATTTACGCAGTGACAGCAAAGCCAGCTCGGTCCCTGGGCCCGGCAGGGCCACCAAAGGCCCCGGCAAGGGTCCCGGCTCGGCGTCCACTGACGACGGCTCCGAGACCTCCGAGGGCAGCAAGCCCGCCTCCCGCGCCGACGGCCCCCAGAAGTCCAAGTTCGCCTCCAGTCTGCTCAAAAACGTCATTTCCAAGAAGATGCAGCGAGAACACGAGTTCAAAATGGAGCGGGGAGAAGTCACGGATACATCCCACCACCTCGCAGGCACCTCCAAGGAGCCGGAGGGCGGCCCCGGGAGTGAGAGGCAGCGAGAGAGGGGCCTGCAGAGGCAGAGCTCTCGCCACTCCGAGGCCGGCTCCGAGTACACGGTGGTCAGCGTGTCCGATGCGGGCGGGGAGGGATCCGTGGCCGGCACCAAATCCCCCATCTTCAAAGCCAGTACCCCTCGCGAGCGCAGCGCGGGACCCGGCCGGAATGTCACCGATGGACACACAGAAGTGTGCGAAATTAAAAAGAGTGCCTCAGAGACTGTCAAGGGCATCTTCCTCCGCAGTCAGAACAGTGCGTTCCGGTCGTGGAAGGAGAAAGAGGCCGAGAAGCGGGAGGAGCAAGCCCCCATCCGGAAGCTGAAGCTGCCCAAAGGAGGCGACTGGAGGGCTGATCTCGGGGAGATCTCCGCCAGCAAGAACACCATCATGTCTCGCCTCTTCGTCCCCAACATCCAGCAGACACCCAAGGACAAGCAGCCGGGGAAGCAGGCCACCAAGTATCCTGCTGCCCAGGCCACCTCCACCGCAGTGATCAGACCCAAGGCTCCTGAAATCAAGATCCGGCTGGGGAGTGTGCAGCAGCCGAGCTCAGACTTCAACATTGCCAAGTTGCTCACGCCCAAGCTGGCCGGTGGCAGCGCCTCTAACCTGTTCAAGACCATCGAGGACAACAGCAGGGCACAGCAGAAACTCTTCCGCGGAGACAACCTAGAAAAAGTGCCCCATTTCCAGGTGAGAGACATCAGAGACAAGTCCAAGGCTCAAGGCCCCCTCCACCAGGTGAGAGATGTCAGGAAACTAATCAAAGGTTCAGGGGATAGCAGTGACAAGGGCAGTGTTACCCCAGAGCAGGGCCTGACTGGACCCAACCCCAGGCAGCTGTCTGCAGCAGCTGGCGGATCCGGATCCCTGTCCCCCATGGTGATTACATGCCAGGCTTTAGTGAACCAGAGGGAAGACAGCTTGGACCGAGAGCCCAGGGAGAGCATGGGCAAAATGGGCGGAAGCAGAGTCTTGAATTCCTCCTCCCCAGAAGGGACAGTCTTGGTTCACAGGGCATCTGGCAGGCTACCTGTGGCTACCATTGCCCCCAATAAGCCTGAGCAGGGTTCATACCTGCCTGTGCTCAAGATTGTCTCCAAAGCTTCCACCCAGAAGACCCCAGAGAAGCTCAAGGAGGAGGAGGTCAAGGAGGAAGGGAAAGCCACAAAGCCAGCCCGGAATGCCCTGGAGAAGCTGACTGCAGCGGTGAGGTCCATGGAAGAGCTGTACAGCTTCAACAGGAACGAGTGGAAGCGCAAAAGCGACCCCTTGCCTATGATGACGGACAGCCACGTGCTGTCGCTCATTGCCAGTGAGGAGAGGGAAGGGGTAGTGGGTGCTGAGGGAGACCAGGACAGGCTGTCCAAACGGCTGGGTGAGGTAGGAGGGCGGGGCACAGGAAACAAAGCTGGTGTGGTCCTGCGAGGGGCCCCCATACAGCGTCTGCAGCGGAGAAACTCCAATCCCAGCGCTGAGAGTGTGTCTGCGCGGGCAGCGGCCTTTGAGAACCTGGCCAGGGAAAGACCCCGATCTCTCTACATTCCCCCAGTCCACAAGGATGTGGAGAGAACCCAAACCCTGCAGCCCCTCCCTCCACTCCCCAGCAACCGGAATGTGTTCACAGTGAGTGCCAGCAGCATTCAGAAAACTGGGGGTGTCGCTGGGAAGTTCCCACAGGGACCTTCTCCAGAGAGTCCTTCAGCAGCTAAGGGCATCAAATCTCAGGGACTCCGGTCCCTCAAGATCTCTCCCGCCACCCGGGCACCTCCTGATGAGGTGACCAACAGGAAAAGTGGCAGCAATTTGGAGAAGAGCAACAGTGACTGTGAGAATTACCTGACCATCCCTCTCAAAGGAAGCTCTGCTGCAGGGGAACTTCCTGGCAGGCCTGGGGCTTCCCGGGAGGGACCCCTCAACTCCTCAGCTGCCACTCTCTGCAGTTTGCCCCCACTGAGTGCCCGCAGTCAGGTCCCCAGTAGCTCCAAAGGCTCTCAGGTTAGTGGAACCAGCCGACCAGCTTGGCGTACTAAACCTGACAACCCCCGGGAGACAGTAGCTGCCCCCCCAGGGCCACAGAGCCCTGAGCATCCCCCCACCGCCATCTACCACCAACCGCCACTGCCCTTTGCCCTACAGGGGGCCCAGCCCCAGGTCCTCTGCTTCTCCCCACCCAGCATGCCTGCCCCAGCACCTGCAGGCCCAGCTCCGGTCCCCACAGACCCCTTCCAGCAGCCACAGCCTCAGCAGACCCAGCGTAAGATGCTCCTGGATGTGACAACCGGCCAGTATTATCTGGTGGATACACCAGTACAGCCTATGACCCGGAGACTGTTTGACCCTGAGACAGGGCAGTATGTGGATGTGCCCATGACCTCCCAGCAGCAGGCTGTGGCTCCCATGTCCATCCCTGTGTCTCCCTTGGCCCTGAGTCCTGGGGCTTATGGACCCACCTACATGATTTACCCTGGGTTTTTGCCCACCGTGCTGCCCCCAAATGCCCTGCAGCCCACACCAATTGCTCACACTCCAGGAGGCAGTGAGCTCTCCCCAATGGCAACAGAGTCTCCCAGCAAAGAGGCAGCTGCAACGTTCACTGAGGCTCCATACTTCCTGGCTTCTGGTCAGTCTCCAGCCTCCTCATCCTCCTCAGCCCCAGCAGCCACATCCCAGCTTGTAGGGGCCAAGGGCTTCACCCAGCTGCATGGCAAGCCTGTCATCAGCATTACTTCACAGCCCCTGGGGCCACGGATCATTGCTCCCCCTTCCTTTGATGGCACCACCATGAGCTTTGTGGTAGAACACAGATGATGAGCAGCCACCAGGAAGCGGAATGAAACAACTGCTGGTAAGTGAATTTCGCTTCAATAATAAGGTTTAAGAGAGTAAGAACAACATTTTTTTCTTTGTGTTTGAAGTGAGAGATTTACAACAAAGGATGCTGTCTCTAGAAATGCATGTTTTGGCAGAATAGAACAAGCCTGCATCCAATTTACGAAGGGGGTAATTTTCTTGCCAGGATTCTCCCTCTCCCCAAATTTGAGTCCCTAAGGTCGACCTTTGCTCTTTGACCTTTTCAGATTGCCTGAGTGTTTTTTTCCCACTTGACAGGAGAAGGGAAGTGAACCTTGAGTCTCTCCCTTCAGCCTGTGGAAAATGATGGCAGGGCAAAGAACGAAAACTCAGCTTGGATTTTGTGGAGTTAGACTCACTCTTTGTTCATGACAGCCCCAGGCACAGGATGAACTGAACATCCTAGGAGATCATTGGAAACCTCTTCAATCTGTTTGCTCCCCAGAAGTATGAAGAAGCAAAGACAGATGTTTTCTTGTTAGGACCATTTTCTAAAATCTGCAGAAAATCTTCTTTCCCCTCTTGTATCTTCCTTTTGAAATAGCTTACACAAAGGGGCTATATTTTTTAAGCTCTCATTTTTGTTTTCTGATGATCAGAACACGTTCTTAGGATGATTTCAAGGTCTTTAATATATCTTACACACACACACACACACACACACACACACACACACACTTTGACACACACTTTGATCTCTATGGAGGATGGGGCAGATTCTGGAGCTGCAGTTACTCCTTCCTTGAATGGAGTTGCTGTGTTTAATCCAGTCCTGTTCAGACTGAACACATTATACTTTGCTGCTAATCCCACAAGACTGTTATTTTTATGTCTGCATTCTTTCTCCAGAGAAGAATCAACTTCCACACCTACACCTAGGTAAATGAAATCAGAGTAAATAGATTCCTGACATCTAGGTTAATCCAAATGCCCAAACAGGAGTCCCTGGAAATACAGTACGTGGAACTTGATAGGAAGAGTGAGTTTTACTTGTTCAAACCAGGACACTTCAGGTCAAACACATGACAGGGCAAAGACACCTTCAGATAGGAACGTAAAAGTGTCAGAACTGTGGGGACGAACTTGCCCCAATACTCCTGTTCTCTTCAGATTGGGAAAGGTTACTATTATAAATCCTTCTTAGGACTTTCAGTCTTTGGTAAGATCATATTTAGAACCAAAAAAAAAAAAAAAAAGAGAGAGAGAGAGAGAGAGAGATAGAAAGAAGAGAAATCCTATTTATGCTTCTATAATAAAAATAAGTTATTTCTCTTTTCTCTGTTATAATGGAAAAGGAACAGAAGAACATTGCTGCTTTGTGCAGTAAAAGAGGCTTCAATCAGGAATTATGTTCATTGGATTTTTGGAGTCACACAGCTTCTCACCAGCTGTGTGATCGTGGGTGTGACAAACTCTCTAGCATTTATGTGTCATCTCCAGTGGGGACAATAATATCTAACCCTAAACATGCATCTGAATATCAGATGATATAACAATGTATTGCAAGCTATAAATTTTGTTCAAATTAAGGGATTGTTATTGAATATTATTACACTTACTGGACTGTAAGACAACATTAGGCACTGTTCAAAAAACCCTTAAATCTTTATCTAAGAATTCAGTTGAAAACACAAGCCTCATTTTAGCTGCAATCCAGACATACATTGTTTAAATTCTTCTTCTGGGAGAGTCTACAACAGGCACTGTGTAGATAAAGAGAGGAGGGAGAAAATTAAAGACAAATAAGTCACCTTTTGTTTAGTGTAAAATTAAAAAAAAAAAATCAGTATGCATGGTAGGAGACTCAGAATTAGAGAATTAGTTTCGCAGAAGGAAAAGAGTAGCCAATAGGCAAAAGTGTTTTAGTCGCTTAGACAGGTGCTGTGTTTACCTAGGGCTATTTTGGACCACCTAATGCTACGAGGCCTTTGTGCAAGCTGTGGAGGTGCAGAAGCAAGGGGAAGGGAGGACGAGGAGGAGAAGAGGGAGGATGGGGCACACACTCGCACAGTGTCCTCTTAAGCAGCTGCCTTTGGCCTTTCTCCTGTCTGTTGAGTCTAGAGAGATTAGACTTCGGATTGTTTCCAGTAAACACAGATATATATTCGAGTTTTAGCATTTTGGAGTTGAATAGTGGTAATTTAAATTTTTTCCCTTTTTGAAAGCACAACCTTTATTTTAGTAAATAAAGCCCTAAAGATAGACAGAAAGGTCAAATCTGGTTGGAAACTAAAGATTAGCTTTTTGTATGCAGGCAAAAGTTGACTTAGCCAAATTGAAATAATGAATTAAAAATCCTTCAAAACTCACTTTTTTGAACATTCAGTACCACTCTCCAAAGAAAAACCAGATGGGTTTTTTTTAAGTGTCTAATTCTTTTCTTTGTGAAAAAAAAAATTGTAAGCATTGTTCAGATCTTTTAACATGTTCATATAGATGGTCAGTGTTCAGATCTTTCAACATGCTGTTATAGATGGTCATTGTGAGAAATCTTGAAATGTGATTTCAGGTCAAAATTTTCTTTAAAAACCACACTTACTGCAGATATTAGTTTTGAGGTAGGGTAGGTTTATGCTCCCCTTTCAAATGAGAATTTATGTAAATGATTTTATCTGACCACAAGAGAAGAAATCTGGGACTTAAAAAGGAATGATTTTGCTGAGGTCCCAAAGAGTGACAGAACCAGAACCTGTGGAACCAGCTCTTAACCCCTGGGCCACACCATGCTCCCTGCAGAACACTCTGTGTTCCTTGGTGTGATGCATAGAGCAAAAAAGGACAGCAAAGGAGGTGTGATGAGCTCTGAACTGGCGGCAAGGACACCCAGGATCTGCTCTCTGGTGGCATTTGGCCATTAACCATCTGTGTTTCCATTTGCCTCTCTGGACATTTGCAAAATGAATGTTTCAAGAAAATGCACTAATTCAACAAGCATGGATTACGTGCCTACATTCTGTCAGCCACTGTGTACTCCGTGGTGGGTCCATAAACAAGTAACATAAGTGAGGGGCCTGCACTCCAGCAGGAAACAGACTTGTACACACAAAACTGCAAAACAAGTGTTCAAGAACTATCATAACCTTTAAGATTCCTTCCAGTTCAAATAATATTTCATCATCTATTTTTAGCACTGCATTGCAACAGGGAGCTTCACTTTTTTTCCTCCCCTTATATATTTGAACATAAACAGCTGCTGTTATCTCTTTCTGATTATTCTGCTATAAATGTTCCTTTATTTTTTAAAAAAAATATATATATATAGGTGGGTTTTTCTCACTTCTCTTCATCCTGTGGTCAGTATTCCAGTACTTCTCACTCAGACTTTGCCACTGCCAGAGCCCATCTAAAAAGATAATAAGATTATTCATTTTCTTATTATTTAGTACTCCCGTCTCACATTGTGATTACTGGACAAGGCTGTGTACCACCTGGGACCCAACTGCCCAGATGACTACTGCAGTAACCCAACTGCAACACACCAGTGTGATAGGAACACCAGCTGCAAAACTTCACCACTTTCTTTTTCTCTGTTGTTAGATGTTTTTGTCTGTCTATTTTGGTTTTTGATGGTTCACCTCCACAGGATCTTTGACTACTTTTGAATGAGTTTTTTTTTTTTTTTTCTAGTTTTCTGTTTTTTGAGGCAGACGGCTACATTTTTCCCTTCCTGACATATCCAGATGTTAGATAAAAATACATATTAGATGCTATATTTTTGTTTTAAGATTTTAATTGAGTTGATACTAAATACCATTTACAAGGGCATAAAGATAAAATAAATATGTAATATTATCAAAAGAAAATTTTCATTGGTACAATGCCTGTTAATATAGTGGATATCAGCCTAAGAGAATTGCAATTATTTTGTTTCATTTGAATGTCCCTTTTTTTTATGACTTTGTGTCTTTATTTCTCCCTGTGTTTTCTGTTGCTCCTGCATTGCTAGTCTTTCTTTTCTATTTACTTCCCCAGAGTTACTTCTACCCGCTGAATAGGGCCCCATGCATCAGCAACTGAAGTAGGAAGAGTAAGGGCTAGATTTAGGGAGAGCTGTCTTATTAGAGTATTCTAAGAGGGTCCTAGACTGGTCCTTAGATCATCAAAGCCAGTCTCTTTGTATTAAAATTGCAAGAGGAAATTAGCACACAGAGAGGGTAAGTGACCCTTCCTTAGTCATAGAACTGGGGCTTGAAACCTAAATATTCTGTTCCAGAGCCCTTTTCTTTTTCTTTTTTTAAATTATGCTTTCAAGTTCTGGGTACATGTGCAGATTATGCAGGTTTGTTACATAGGTATACATGTGCCATGGTAATGGTTTGCTGCATCCATCACCCCATCATCTACATTAGGTATTTCTCCTAAAGCTATCCCTCCCCAGTCCCCCCACCCCCTTCTATTCTTCCCTTAACCCCCCATCACCCAGGCCACAGTGTGTGATACTCCCCTCCCTTTGCCCCTGTGTTCACATTGTTCAACACCCACTTATGAGTGAGAACATGTGGTGTTCGGTTTTCCGTCCTTGTGTCAGTTTGCTGAGAATGAGGGTTTCCAGTTTCATCAATGTCCCTGCAAAGGACATGAACTCATCTGTTTTATGGCTGCATAGTATTCCATGGTGTATATGTGTCACATTTTCTTTATCCAGTCTATCATTTATGGGGATTTGGGTTGGTTCCAAGTCTTTGCTCTTGTGAACAGTGCTGCAATAAATATACATGTGCATACGTCTTTATAATATAATGATTTATAATCTTTTGGGTATCTACCCAGTAATGGGATTGCTGGATCAAATGGTATTTCTGTTTCTAGATGCTTGAGGAATCACCACACTGTCTTCCACAATGGCTGAATTAATTTACACTCCCACCAACAGTGTAAAATCATTCTTATTTCTCCACATCCTCTCCAGCATCTGTTGTCTCATGATTTTTTAATGATCGCCATTCTAACTGGTGTGAGGTGGTATCTCAATGTGGTTTTGATTTGCATTTCTCTAATGACCAGTGATGATGAGCTTTTTTTCATATGTTTGTTGGCTGCATAAATGTTTTATTTTGAAAAGTATCTGTTCATATCTTTTGCCCACTTTTGATGAGTTTTTTTTCTTGTAAATTTGTGTAAGTTATCCATAGATTCTGGATATTAGCCCTTCGTCTGATGGGTAGATTGCAAAATTTTTTTCCCATTCTAAGGTGGGGTTGCTACATTGCCCAGGCTGGAGTGCAGTGGTGCACAGGCGTTTTCTTCTTGCTGTCCATTTCTGCTCTTCCTTTTTTCCCTAAGGCCACTTTTCTTTGATGGACTTACTTCCTGGTGGCTGTCCCACTAGTCTCTTTTTTCCCTTGCCGTTTGCTTGATAATTTATTTTCGGTCTTTTCCTTTTTTTTTTTTTTTTTTTTTTGGTAGTTTATTCCTTATTGGGGTTCCTCATTTTCCCTTCATTTCAACTTGATTTACTTCAGTGCCATACCACCTTGCTTCTTCCCTTCTCCTAACTACTTTCGTAGTTTGTTTTTATCTTAGATTAGACAGCTTAAAGGGTAGGACTTGGTGGGTCCTCCGGCTCCCTCCCCTGAATGTTCTTAAAGCACTGTACTTGTAGCCAGCCCAGGACATCATCCAAGGGACAGGAACTTTGCTGCCCCAAGCGCACGCAGGCCAGGTAGCTAATCTGCAGACTATCAACTAGACATTGTATTTTCACTTCATTCCATAATTACCTTCATGAATTGATAAATTCATTTCTATTTTTCCCACTAACTTGATAGTGACTTCCCATCCCAATTATTATATACAGCTGCTGTTTTATCTTCTTAATGTCTTTTTTTATTTTTGCCTTTTCTTTTCTCCGTTTCCCTCTAATTGCATTGTGGTTTTTCTCTAGCTTGCTGTTTTGTATCTCTCTTCTATTGCCTTTTAATTTTTTTTAACTTATCTAAATTCTATTGCCTTTATATTTTCTTTTTTAACTTATCTAAAAATAATAAAAAGTGAAAAGTAATAACTAATATGTATTAATCACTTAGTATATACCAAGACTTAACATCATGCCATTTAATTCTTAACACGAATAGGTACTATTTTTAATCTCTGTTTGATAAATGAAACATTAACTTGTCCCAGATCAACAGCTATTGAAATCCAGGCACTTCGAGCTCCGTGGCCCTTCCTCTTACAGAGCATTCCCTTGTTTACCTACTTGTCTTATTCTCTGCGCTCTGATCCCAGTTCTTTGTTGTAAATTGTCCCTCTTCCCTTATTTGTTCTTTGTGCCACGACTTTCTTATTACCTAACTTCTTCAAAATTTTTCAGCCATTGCATTTTTACACATCAGTCCACTAAAGAATTAATTATATGAAACATTAAAGTCCTTGTGGATGGGGAAAGAGAACACAGTTGGAATTTGACTGGCTGCCTTGCTGCTAATTTTCCAAACTTCTGTTTCATTCAGAGGAAATAGAATCTTCTGGCCATTTTACTGCTGTGGAGGGCGTGTGTGTGTGTGTGTGTGTGTCTGTGTGTGCGTGTGTGTTTTGTGGTTTAGGGGAAAAGTCAGGGGAAGGGAATAAGGCAAGAAACTGACCCTGACTCTTTCAGTGTTCAGTATATACTAAAATTCTATGTGTTTTTCATTTGATTAAACAACTAGCTATCCTTAGAACACTGTATGCAAAAAGAAACCTGAGCCAGTTTAAGGACTCCTAAAAGCTGTAGTTCCCAGTGGTGGGATAATTTTTGTTTAAAGCAGTAGAATGTAGGATATAAAAGTAGGAGAGAAATCTTCTTGGATGCTAGTGGGTTAAAGCATTTTAGTTGAAGGGGAGCTGTGTGGCTTTTCCTAAAGAACAAGTATGTATGCCTTGAAGTCAGGCAACCCCAACTCAGATTCTAATACTGTTACTTACTAGTGTAAGTGACTAATCTTACTAGTCACAATGTAGTCTAGGCAAGTGACTTGCTGTCACTGAGTCTCATTTTCCTCACCTGTAAAATGGGGATATGTTTCAGGAGAGTAGTGAAGACTGAATTATAAAACCATGACAGAAGACAGAGCATATAGTACATGGCAACGTAGTAAGTGTCCAAGCTCCCTTGAGACTAGATCCTCATAAATGCCTCAGAATCCCCTTATCTTCTCAGTGACGCTCACCAGAGAGGAAAATCAGCCCTTATCAATGCAGATTCCCAAGGTAAGTATCATAGACCTGTGCCCAGGATTGCTCTGTATTTCCCCAAACTGGAGACAGTGTCCACAGTTCTGCAGTCCTCTTTGAGCTAGCTGGCTGATCTGTCAGGGCAGGCCAGTTGGCTGTGTGTCAGGGTACTCTAGTATCCCCCAAGGCCTTCCAGAATATTATACAACTCTAGGCATAGCTTGCCAGCTGTGTGTGGTGATTTTCCTCTCTGTCTGGGCACAGGCTGGCGTGGAGAAAGGGAAAATCTGACCCAGCATCCCTGTTCAAATCTGTCATGTGTTCTGGTCCTAAAACCATGGGAAGTCGTCCAGCTAAACTGCCTGGTGATACAGCGTAGTCATCCCTTCGTCTTTACTGACTTCTTCATGATCCATTCTACTGCAGTACATGTTTGTGAGGCCTCTAACAGGTTAGCTATATTGGCAATTTTTATTACTTTTTCTTTACTAGGAATGGGGAACAACTTTATTACTTTTCAATTTCAAACAAAATTCTCCTGATATTAATGTAAGCAGAAGCGATATTCTGTGACTATCCAAAAAGGAGGTATCTGTGCTATCAATCCCTAAATATGATCCTAGTAGATTGTATAACCAGATTTCTCCTTCATTTCTCAGACTATTACCATCCTATAATGCAATCTCTCTCTCTTGACTTTTTTTCTTTTCTGTCTCCCTTTAATGTCTTCTCACTGCCCAAGAAGTCTCCGCAAATCTTGCCTTGTGATAGGACTCAGCCAGAGTTGTTGTAAAATCCCAGAATCCACATTATAATTATTCTTCTGAGTCTTATATTTTCTTTTCTCCCTCTTGTAATTAAATTTCCTGTTCCTATTGTTGCTTTTTATGTCCTAAGGTAGAAAAACTTACATTTAGCTAAAGAGAGGTCTCCAAATTTACAACAGTCACTTTTATCTTGAAGGTCATCCCTCAATATAAAATACAACACAATAAAATAAACATTAAGTGTATACATATGAGCTTAAAAACATAATTATTCTTATAGACTTCTTTTTTAAACACATATTTAAACAGCTCTGTTTCTAGATGATAGAATTAAAATGTCCCTTGCCTTGCTACTCTGGGTGCATACGATTGGCTAGATAGCTGTTATTTGATAACTCTTGGAGGTTATTCTTCATGTGAGTCTTCTTAATCCCTAACAAATATTACCTGTAGGCCACTCTATTTCTGTCTTCATAATGTTATGTTCAAATATCAACTCCCAAATGTTAAAAATATCAACTTTGCCTAAGAATTTTACTTAGGCAAAGTTCTAGTAGATATACTAGAACTTAATATGGAGATAGGCAAAAGGGCTAACTTTCAGTAAGCTTCCGAACATACCAATACTGTTCTAGAGTGGATTTAGTAACTAAATTAGATTCTAACAGTACATCTCATTTTGAACAAAGCGTACTATGTGAATTTCCACATAATTTAGGTGCTAGTCATTTTCTTTACAAGAATTCTCAGTATTGAGTTTACTCATTTAATCAGATTGATAACTAAACTTCAGATGTTTCCATTTAGCTTAAATATTTCTGCATGCTAATATTAGAAATATATCTATTATATTATCTTTGTTATGAGTGATTTCAATGAAATTGAACATTTAACTTTAAAATCATTTTTGAAGAGTTGATTAGATTTGATTCAAGTTCCATTTGGGGCAATTTATTGAAGTTGGCATAATGTTTAGTAAGTTCATAAGCACATTTGCCAAGCACATTTAAAAATGTTAACTTCATTATTAACATTGAAATTAGCCAGATAGTTAAATAAAATGTATTTTAAATTTTTCTTGCTTCATAAAAGTGAAATTTGCTTTTAGAACTAGCAATCTTTTCATTGACTATTTTTTCTGTTTATTTGTTTTTTTATTTTATAGGAGCAAGACAAAAAGATGGACTATTCTTCTTCAATCTGGAATTTGCATTGTAATAGCACTAAGAATTAATTCATCTGAAAAACTTCTTCCACATGTGTTATTCTTGATTTTTGCTTCTTATAAGCCAAGTGTGTAAGTTTCTATGTCTTCCTGAACAACTCTCTTAAGGCAGTTTTTATTTTAATTTTGTTAAGTTGATTGAATGATTGCATTTTTTCCCTTTACTACTATTTCTTTTTATACTTCAACACGGGATATAAGCTTTCTATTCACTTCCTTCCTCACTGCACTTGTGACTAGGCAAACAATTCCTTTGTTCCCATTGATCAGTCAAAACATGCAACAGAACGGGATTGGCTCTGTTGTAAACAAAGCCAGCAAATCAGCAATTTGGATTACGAATCTCTTTACAGATTCTTGGAATACCAAGACTAGCTGGCTGAGTTGTAGTACTTATTTAAGTTTTCAATATGGTGGTCTGCTCTTTGAATCATATACCAGCCAAGCCTATTCATTCTCTTGGTTATGCTCTATGTGTTCTTTTATTGGGTTTGGCATGATTTCAAATGTGATTGTGAAAAATGGTGGTTTTAATGTTTGTGCTTTACTTTTCCCATTTGTACAACGTCATGATACTATTTGTTGCCTTAAAATAGAATGGCTTGAAATACTGGAGAGCCAATGATTGCATTTAAAATTAAGTACCTAGTTTCAGAAAGATATACAATATCTATTTTCCCTTAAGAATCAAATTATTTATGTGGATGTATAGCGTTTTTCTTTTCTTCAGTAATTCCCTCCATACACCTGTCTCCCATGGATTGTTCGGAGTCTGAAGAGTGATCCTTTTGGGGTAGTAGAGAAGAATATGGCACTAATTAAGTGGCTCCGATTCACTCCAACCCTAGCCTCACTGTCCCATGACAGTAACCTAGAGTTACAGCACTTGCTCCCCATGAGGCAGATTAGAAGATATGTCAAGAATCCAAATCACGGAATCTTTTATCAACGTTTAGTACTGTCTCAGTTGTAATCCAATTCTGAAGGCTGTTTGAATGAGTGTTCACAGTGAGTCTTGAAGACTTGATTGAACAGATATTTAGCTTTTCATAATAAGTGTGTTGATATATACTTGGTAAATGTTACATTAAAACATTTCTTAGTTACTTTTTAAAGTAATAATTTGAATGTTTTCCCAGGTTTTTTTTTTTTTAAAGAATATTCTTTTATTTACCAATTTGTTTAAAGATAAAGTATTCTGGTAATTTCTTAAATGCCCTATTGTTACTTTAATCATCAGCAATATTTGGTTTCTGCTTAAAATTTCTTTATTTGACATGAGTAGCATAAAATTATTAATTATTAGCACTTACTCACCTCACAGGCATGAGGCAAATCTCAGTCTTCATTTTTATTCTTTTGTCATTTCTGGAGGTTGCATGAATATTTGAATGAAGTCATACACTCTGTCTGTTACAACTCAGGTGGAATCAATCAAGAGTCTATGAAACCTTCTGACCCATAAAACTATTATCCTAATAATGTCTCTTTAGTTACTGAACTTCCCTTTTATGTTTCATTACTATAAAACCACTAGTAAAACATTTCCTAAATAGTGCCTTGAGCTTGAATCTAATCAGAAAAGTGTGAGTAAAAAACTACAAGGCTGAGTTTTGTATGATTTATATAATCTTGTTACTTTGTAGTTATGCTTTCCTTCTTAGACTCTTGAAAAAAACTTAATTTCACTTTCAGGGACTTCCTTTAAGGAATCTTACTCTGAAAAAAAGTACTCTTGGGTATAGGGAAAGGTTTGAAGTGGAAATAGCTCACAATTCAATTGCTTGTTGTGCTGTTGAGCTATGAAATGAAGCTATAGCATTTATGAGACATGAAATATGAGACATAGCCTCTGTGTATAAGAAAGATGCCCTTGTGCCAAATTCAAGAAAAAGATATTTCTTTATCACAGAGGTCTTCTTACCCAGGGACATCAATCAGTTCCCCCTAGAACTTACTTTTCTCCACTGGGGAACAAATCTTACAACATCAAAGCTTCCTCGTTTTCAGGAGAGATTTGCTGCGTATGAGGAAACGTAATATTGACCCAAGAAAGTAGAATCCCTTTCAGAAATCTTACACTCATTTTACTGAAAGCAGCACCAAGAAACCTCCAGTATTTGAATACACCTGGTGAGACCTGTATAGGATTTGGGTGGATCGTACCAAAATTGTTAAGACTGGTTTAAAGCCACATGTGATTTTCAGGAAAACCCAGTGGCCATGTTGAGTAGTGACTGCTCGCCAACTCTTCAAAAAGAGAGACAATGCCTTTCCTAGAAAATGTGGTAGAGTTGAGGGTTTGGGACCCATAAGCTATGTATCTGTGTTTATCACCAGAAGATTTGAGTTTTAAATTCACACATTGAGGTAAATTAGGACACAAACTAAGGAAAGAAAGAAACAGGTTTTCATTTGTTTGTTCTATGCAAGAGGCTCCACCTTTTAAGATGTTGCCAAGGACACAGTGATGTCCAAGTGGTTAAAAAATGCAGCTTTTAAATAATGTTCTATTAATATGTTTTCTATTGATAATTTTATAGTTCTCTATTTCACCAAATCATACAAAGCTGCTACGCCAGTCACTACCTCAAGTGATAGGGAAAAATATTTTCATGGGCATGAGGTAAATCTTAATCTTTGTTTTCACTGTTTTGTCATTTCTTGAGGCTGCATGAATATTTGAATGAAGTGATAATACTCTTCCTTTTACAACCAAGTGGAATCAAACAAGAGTTTATTAAGCCTTCTGACCCAAAAAACTATTACCCTAATAATGTCCCTTTAGCTACTGAACTTCCCTTTTATGTTTTATTGCTATAAAACCATTAGTAAAACATTTCCTAAATAGTGCCTTGAGCTTGAATCTAATCAGAATTGCTGAGTCTGGCTTTCATGATATCCTCTTAGGGTTATATGTGAGGCTGTTTTCCAGAAGAGCCACTTTGTACTTCTTGATAAAATATTTGAAATATGCCCCATTTCAATTGTTTCTGGAAAATTAAACACATTTATAACCCTATAAAAATTTAATTCACCAGAATGTATTTTTTTTTAAGTACTCACTGAAATTGTCCTCAGGATTAAGGGAAGGCCCAGATATGCAGGTAAGGACATTGCAGATAGGCTGTCTACATGTCCATTTATCATGGAGTAAACAAGATAAAGCAAGTTACACTTTATACCTTTATAACCCATCTCAACTATTGACACGCATTTCTAATACATCCTTATATCACTGGAAATATCTGGTGATATAAATTCCTTTTCCTTACTTTCAAATTTGACATTATCATCCTTGCCTCTCAAAAAGACACATTTTAATTGTTTTCATACTTCATGGAAATCAAAGCCTGTGTTTGCTACAAATTGAATGCTCACGTTACCTGTAACAATACTTTGGACTGCAGGACAGGACACTATTGATTCCTAAGTAGACTGACTATAATCTCATGATAAGTATGTATATGTGCATGGGGAAACAACATTCAATAATAGTCTTTGTGTTTAAAAACTATCATGGTATACATTTTCTTATGTGGTGCTTGAGGAGTTTCATTCTACAGTTTACAAGGTGTAGGTTTGCACCCCAAATTCTCAGGGTATGCTATTTCACCCAAATACTTGAAAGAAAAAGGTGCCCTGTATTTTACCAGTACTGTTGAGGGGGAAATTTTTTGTGTAAGTTTGTTTGAGAAAACTGCTTATAAAAATCAAATTCACAAAATATGTTAGGCTTTCACATAATTTTAAGGATATATATAGAAATAAGATATATATTATCAAGACACTGCTTATATATTCTTAACTAACTTCTGGGTCCTAAGTAGACCTCACAGGTGCATAAAATCATTAATAAAGTATGTAGCAGTTGCTAATTGATGCCTTAAGCTTGAATCTAATCAGAACTGTAGACTCTGGTCCTCTCGGGAAAGAAACATGTCCGTCTGTGGCACGTGTGAGTACTAGGCCAGGGGGAAGAGTCTGAAAATTGAACTCCTTTGTATGTCCTGTGTCTCAGAGGAGAACTGAATGTTCAGAGCAGCATTTGTAAGCTGCTAACATTCAGTGTTTCGTGTTGCAACTAGAGCACATTGTTAGATTTATTCCTGTTTAATTCATAATGGTGCAGAATAAAACACACACATCAAATTTGATTTTTTTTCTTTTTTTAAGTTTCCTAATTGCTTTTTACAGTTACTGTTAATAGCAAAAAGTCCTTCCCAGGGCTCCCTGAATAACCTATGGTGCCTGTATCCATAGCAGGTGATGCTCTATTTTTTTCCCCATTTTGAAGATGTGTGTTTCTATATTTACACATAAATCATACTTTTGTATAGTAAAGACAGCAGTGGTTGAAAAGAATGTGAACGATGTAGAAGTCATGTTGGAACAGAGGAGAGTAAATCATGTGATTAATAGGGAAGGACATTGGATAATGTTGTGCCCCTGACTATGAAAGAAGCTGGTGGTAAATGGGAAGAATGTGAAGTTTTAAACTGCTCTCAATATAGGAATCTTGGTGGTGGAAAAGTTTCTACCTGAGGTCTGATGTGATTCATTGTAGAATGCAATGAGCTTGGCCAAGGAGACTTTGAATCCAGTCAAGAGGACTTTGAATCTCAACAGCACTGAGAATCACATTTTCAGTGCATTGCATATGGAGTAAACGATTTAGACAAGGATTCTGTGAGACTGGTCAACTTACCTATAATTGCCAGCATTTGTAAATGATTGTGCAATCCTGTGTAATGGTCTTTTATTTTGACTGTTTTTGAAAAAAATGTTTTATTGTTTTTTTTTTTCCCCGGTAAAAGTAAGTTCAAAGAAAACATGCTTTGTTTGTCTTTATTTTAACTCATAAAACAAGTTATGGATAGTTTCATTTTCTCTAGCTTAAATCCTTCATTTAATGAAAATACTCTATTAGTATTTCACATCCAGATACTATTCATTTTTGAGGGTTGTGGCAACAAATGACCACAAATTTGGTGGCTTAAGACAACATAAATTTATGATCCTACAACTCTGGAGGTCAGAAGTCTGGTATTGATTTTCGACTGTACCCAGAGTATTTTATTTCCTGTACTCAGAGTATTTTGGCTAACCTAAGGAGTCTGACCTGAGCTTGCCTTATTAAGTAGCATTGTGAGGAGCACCTGTCAAGGTGTCTGATGCTCCACTGACACCAAAGAGCAACACAGATGATATGTGTCCCTGAGAGCCCACACTGATGCCCCAGAAAGTAATGTGGTCATCCCTCTCAAAACTATGTACCAAAGACATACCTTTGGGAAACCTACTGCACAGTGAAGATTAATGCTGTAACATGCCCCTCAAATAATCCGCTAGTCAATTGAGATCACTATAAGTCTTAAGATTAAGGCTCCAAAGCACTTGAACCCATATTCCACAAAGAAAGACATCCAGGGTTCCTCACATCTGTCTAGTGGTTGGGGAATATAAGGCAATAAAGGAAATTAAGGACAGCTTGAGGTGTTATGTGTTCCTGAGTCACCTCTGGCTAACTCTTGTTTCTAATGAATTCTTAAACTACAGTCTCCGCTTTGCATAAATATGCACCATTTTTCTCTGCATTGCATTGTCCCACCAGCCTTCTTGCAGCACACTCACCCAATCCTGAGTATTCCAAACACAGGGATGGTATGTGTGACAGGATTTGGCTGAAGGTTTACTGTAACTCGATGGAGATTAGCAGATGGTTCATCATACGGCAGGCAGCTGCATTAGCGTACACCTGGCATTCCTATTCTTAAGTAACCCTATGCCATCTCTGGCACAAGATCATTTTCACTGGTTGTTGAGTTCATTTTTGTTCCAGATACTCCTAATTGCTAGAGCCCTCTCCCAATCATCCATGTTCCTGTCATTTCTTGTATAAAGTAATTTACCTATCTAATGAAGCCCTACAGATGCAGATCCATTACACTATGTCCAGAAGATCTTACTTTCATAACCAGGCATGCCCATTGTTCTAGTTACATATTGCTGAGAAACAATCTACTTCAAAACTTAGTGACTAAAACAACAAACATCATTTGTTTAGCTTGCGAATCTGCAATTCAGGCAGGACTCAGCATGGCAGGTTTGGCTGTGATGCACACAGCATCAGTCTAGGAATGGGAGAATCCACTTCCAAGATGGCACACTTACATGACTGGCCAGTTGATGCTAGCTGTCAGCTGGAAGCTTAGCAGGGCCTAAGAGAAAAGGATCTTGATTCCTCTTCATTTGGGCATCTTGTTGTTTG